CTTGAGCAGTTATAAATCCATTGCCATCCTTACTCTAACTTAATTCTTTTTTTAAAAAAATTTAAATTTGTTGTTAATTTCAGTGAAAATTTACAGAGGCTTTGGATTTCCATTCATTCATTGTTATAGATTTGTCCCCTCCCATCAAGAACTTTTTGCTCCTATTCTTCTGACTTTTTCATCTTCACTCTTAGACTCCTTTTCTGACTTCTATTTTTCCCTCAGAAATATCCATGTGCTCATAACATTTCCCAGGCACTGTTCAGAACAATTCCCAGGCATTTTGCCTCTAGCCATTTTTAACTCCCTTGGAATTCAGGTCTGTCTGCACTGGACTCCTGCCTGTGCATATATCCCAATATTTTTTAAAAAAATTGCAGGCTTGCGTCAGGAGTCCACCCATGCATCAGGTGCTTCCAAGCTATTGATTGCAATAGAGGATGCACCTGCCATCTTTTAGTCTCTCCCAGTATCTGAGGCTTCCAGCTTTCAGAGAATGCTTTGAAATCTTTGCTGCCCTCACACACAGACCTGACAGCTCCTTGGGCTACCACCTTTCAAATCATTCAAATTTGGGCCTGGCTGAGGGCTTCTGTCCCAAAAGGTTAATATTTTACTATAACTGAGCATTGCTACAATACCAGGTAGATAACAATTTTCAATAGCCTGAAAATGGAACTTTTCATTTCAATACCTTTCAAGATCTTGACAATTTATGCCAATGGACTCAGAGATGGCCAGAAACCCCATCTAAACTTCATTTTACTTTTGCTCCTATCTCTCTCTGTAAAGCCTGCCAATCTGTGCAAGTTCTCTTAAACCATTATAAAGTAGCTTTTAGTATTTGCTTTTATTTCCTTACTTGCTTTATTAGAATATTGTGACATTGCTATGTGTTTATACTGGAGCTTATCAGAAATGATAAAAACTCTAAAATAATAATGACAGAACATGGCCCTATAATTATACAAAGGGATTGGGAACACCATCTACACATTTCTGTTGATAACCCCGTTTGCAAAAAACATTTGCTTTCTTCCTCCTTTTTTATTGCTTTGTCTAAGGAAGTTTCTGTTTCTATCATATCATTTGCTCTGGTTTCAGTCAAGTATTAGATGAGGCAACTCAAAAGCAAAGTCTTTTGAGTTGATTCTGACTTTTGTAAAATCCATATGCACAGAAAAAAACTGAGACCTTTCAGAAGGAGATCATCAGGATTATATTGCAAGGTCCCCCAGGGTGGATTTTGACCATCCACATTTCAGTTAATAATTAAGCATTTAAATGAGTGCTACCTATGGTCTCCAGCTCATGGCTGGGATACTCTACATCAGGAATTGGGAAACTACAATTTCTGGGCTGTAGCTAACCTGCTGCCATATTTGTAAAACTTGTGAACTATGAAGGTCTTTTACCTTATTTAATGGTCAGTTTTTTAAAAAAGGAGAATGTTATTTTGTAATACAGAAAAATTATATTCACATTGCATTTTCTATAAAGTTTCATCAGAACACTGTCATGCTCAATCCTTTAAACACCCACTGTCCATTGTTGCCTTTGTGCCTTAGTCACAGAAATGAGTTACTGAGACACTGAGGGTCCAGTGTACAAAACCTAAAATATTTCCTTACCAACTACTTAAAAAAAGGGTGGCAGATCCCTCCTATACATGTTAAACTGCAAGAGGAAGTCAATCCTGATGATTCTTAGCCTAGACTCACTATGTATGACATAAGAGTGGGAAGTGAGAGGGCAGAGATGGTTATTAACCCCTGCCCTTCCCATTCCTAATGGTATAAAGTGTGACAGCATGTTTAGAAGTATGAAATCGCTGTGAACATGTTGTATTTGTCATTATTCTTTTTACCATTTCGAAAGGCCCCCATCCAAAGTGAGTAGTGACTATAGGACAACTAATAAACACAATAAAGCAGAAACACTGAAAATATTCTATCCTTTTTTCTGTGTCCTCCTCTAAGTTCAGTGCTCAAGACTTCAGTACCTCAGGTGGTCTGAGTGCATGTGGCTGATGTAAATCAGGTCAGCTTGGCAAAGCCTATCCAGCCAATCAGAGGGAGGTTCATGGAGCAACCACCATCCTCGGGCAAAAGCAGGACCAGTTAGCCAAGGGTCAAACACCATCCTCTTATCTCCCAGTTTGAGATCCATGCAGGCATGAGTGAGGTATGTTACCTGTTGGGAGAATGTGAGATACACATCAAATCATTACTGACTAATAATAATGAGCTCGTTAATTAAATAATCATATTAGAGAATACTGCTTCTAAGTATGGTCAAGCAAAACCAAGACTCAAGTAGAACTTAGCAGGAAGCTTTAGATCAAGCACAAATCCTAGACACAAAAAACTACTTGTTGCCCATTAACAAATTAATGGATAAAGAAGCTCTGGTATATTCACACAATGGAATATTACGCTGCATTGAAAAACAAGGGATTCATGAAATATGCAAAAGGATGACTCTGGAGGACATTGTGCTGAGTGAAATATCTCAGATACAAAAGGACATATATTGTATAGGGCCACTGTTTTACAAACTAGACAATGACCACAATTATAGGTTCAAATATATTAGCCAGAAGTGACAAACTGATTGGTTGACTAATTGTGAAGATGATAAGTTTTCATTCCATTATACATGGGGCCCCACGAGCCAGTAGTCAGTGGACACTAACAAGTTTTATACTATTTAAATCAGCTCCTACCCACTTATTTTCTAGTCTGCACCACAGAAAAATCTTTAATGGCCTTTACGTGACACTTGGCAGCAGAATGTTGTGATAGACACTTAGAAGTTTGAATGTCAGAAAGTAGCAGTGAAGAAAAAGACAGATGAATGGTGTTCTGTGATAGATAGCTTGGTACAGGCAGAGTGGACTGAACATTGTATAGCTAGGCTTAGAACACATTTTCTACCAAATTGTTCACTAACTCACCCCTGCAGGATGTCAAGCTTCTCTGAGAATGACTACACATAACGGCTTCGAGATAGGAACATGCTGAGGGATTCCAAGTCACTTTCTGATTCTCTTTCCAGGAATGGCACAATTATAAGAGGGTACAATCAGGAAGCAGAGATAAGATAACAGAAACCCTAGGTGTAGAGGTAAAAAGCAGATGAGGAGAGGTTGAAGAATCAAGTAATTTGTCATTAAGCTTCTCTGTTAATACAAAGGCAGGGCACCTCTGGTTATTTGAATCCACCAGTGACTCTGCGGGGGAAAGATGAACATGTTCCTCTTTTGACTTAAAACTTCAGAAACCCAACAAGATCTCTGTGAGAACCAACTATATGGCAGCGAATTTGAGTTCTGAGTACCCTTGGTATAGAGGTCCCTTGAGTGGTATAAATGGTCGAGTAAATGACTACTATCCAAAAAGTTGGTGGTTTCAAACCCACTCAGAGGTGCTTTGGAAGAAAGATCTGTTTTCAGAAAGTCACAGTCTGTGAAGCACAAATCTACTCAGAAAACATAAGATCACTATGAGTCAGAGTCAATCTACTCAACCTTTCAAAAATTCTAGGTAAAAAAAAATTCTGAGTTAAAAAAATTCTGGGTAATTGCAATTTGTTTTTTGGGGAGAAGAGTAATGCTTTCAAAACATTCCCAAACTTTCAGAAAAGTGAATTTTTATTGTTTACCTCTCCCAAAATATCAAAATGTTTCTTGTACGGGGGTGGGGGGAAATCCCTACTGAAGTCAGAAGAATGCCCAAAGTAGTTTGTAAAACTCTTTAGAGCTACCTGCAGACACAGGTAACTAGTCATTCTGTCAGATAGTGATCTTCCATCAAGATTAATGAGCACAGACTGCCTTAGAACAGGTGAGGGGAAGAATTATCAGAAAGGAATTTATGACTGGGCAATTTTATAACAATAATCTGAAACAAGGGCTGCATTGCAAGTGGCCGTGGGGTGAGATATTTCACTCAGTATAATGTCCTCCATGGTCACCCATTTTGAATAATATTTCATGAGTTCCTTGTTTTTCAATGCAGCATAGTATTCTATTGTGTGAATATACCACAACTTCTCTATCCATTCATTTGTTGACAGGCACTTAGGTTTTTTCCAACTCTTTGCTATTGTGAACAAAGCTGTGATAAAGATGGGTGTGCATTTATCTGCTTGGGTGGCAGTTATGGTTTCTTTGGGGTATATTCCTAGTAGTGGAATTGCTGGGTCAAATAGTGGTTGCACCATTCTACACTCCCACCAACAGTGAATAAGGGTTCCAGTTTCTCCACAACCTCACCAGCATTTGTTGCTTGCTGTTCTATTAAATTTTGCTATTCTGACTGGGGTGAGATGATATCTCAGTTGTTTTAATTTGCTTCTCTCTTAGAGCTAGGGATTTTGAACATTTCTTCCTGTGCTTGTTAGCCATCTGAATGTCTTCTTTGGTGAAGTGTCTGTTCATATCCTGTGCCCAATTGTCAACTGGATTATTTACCTTTATCTTGTTGTGGTGCTCAAGTATTTTATAAATTCTGGATATAAGTCTCTTATCTGATATGTCATTACCAAATACTTTTTCCCAGTCTGTGGCTTCCCTTTATACCCTGTTGGAGAGGTTTTTGGATGTGCATAGGGATTTGATTCTTAAAAGGTCCCATTCATCTATTTTATCCTTTCCCAGTTGTACATTTTTCAGGATGTTTGGAAGACTATTCATGTTATGGATTAGGACTTCCAGAGTTCTTCTAAGCTTTTTTTAAATGAAGTTTATAACTCTTAGTTTTAGTCCTAGGTCCGTGATCCATCTTGAGTTGGCTTTGTGTATGGAGTAAGGTGTGGATCTTGCTTGAATTTCCTGTGGATAATTTTTCAATTTCACCAACACCATTTGTTAAAAAGGCTGTCCTTTCCCCACTTAACTGATTTCATCTCCTTGTAAAAAATCAGTTGACCATAAGTAAATGAGCTGATTTCTGGACTCTCAATTCTATTCCATTGATCTATGTGTGTCTCTCTCTCATTGTACCAGTAGCATGCTGTCTTGACCACCATGGCAGTGTAGTAGGATTTGAAATCAGGGAGTGAGATGCCTCCTACCTTGTTTCTCTTTTTAAGGAGTGCTCTCTTATTCGGGGCTTCTTTCCATTCCAAATGAAATTGGAAATTGCCTTTTCCATCTCACTGAAGAATGGGATTGGTATTTGTCTTGGGATTTCATTTAACGTGTAAATTGCCTTTGGTAGTATTGCCATTTTCACAGTATTGAGTCTTCCTGTCCATGAGCAAGGGATATTCTTCCACTTCTCAAAGTCTCTTTTTGTTTCTTGTAGTAATGTTTTGTAATTTTCTTTGAATAGATCAGACATAAAAGGACAAATACTGCATAGTGCAACTGTTGTGAGACTGACTTCAGGGCTGGGAGGAGACTGAGAAAGATGGGATAAATTATGTATACTGCATTGAAACAGATGAGGAAGAGAATTGCTTTAAAGGGATATGTAATTAGGTATTATTGTCATGACAAGAGTCCAGATCAGAGGCTGCATAGTGCAGTCGACTGACATGGGGGGAAGGACGTATAAGAATGAAAGAATTTTTCTTTTACTTTTCAAAGAGAAGAGCAAACTGGGTGAGGAAGTGGGCGGGGAGAAAAGTGCAACAATGAATGAATGGAAATCCAAAGTCTCTGTAAATTTTCATTAAAATTAATAATAATTTTAAAAATTTTAAAATGTTCAACTATTAAAAAAGAAATATTGAGGGGGAAGAAAAATGTCTTAACTTCCTTCATTAGTTTTACATAATTGGCCTTTGAGAGTTTCTTCTATAGCTTCTTTCTGATTATATTTCCTTGCAATTCTTGCCAGGTTCTGAAAATCCTGGAAGAAACTTGCTTGAGAGAATTATTTTATTTTGCATCCTTTCTTATTAGTCAACTCAAAGAGTAGTAACAGCAGGATGCTTGTTATTGTTGTTGTGTATTGTTGAGTTGGAACCGAGCTATAGCTGACACTCCAGCAGGTTTTCAGAGGCATTTAACCACATGGTAGGAGATTGCCCATCCTTCTCCTGCAGAGCAGCGGGAGCCCTCCAACCACATGCCTTAGGGATTGCAGCACAGCTTCTTGCCTCTAGGCCACCAGAGCAGGTAGAAATAATCTAGAAGTGTAATAAATGGACATCTTAGTTTTACTTTGAAGAATATTGTCATATCAGTGCTTTCTTACCTGCACTTCTCCAAAAGCCAAATCTTTAGCTGTTCTGGGGTCTGAATCCCAAGGGTTAGGAGGACTCAGTTCTAATAGCAACAGTCCATTTTTTTCATCTGTCTCAACAACTAGAAGCAAAGGGAAACAAATCTGGGTTAGATGCACCACTGAAAAAGAAACATAATGCACAAGTACAGAAGAGTTCCAAAATAAAAAAAGAAAATCAAAGCAAACGGCAGTGTTCGGTGTGGCTAACATCTGCTGAGAGCAACATTAATTCATTTCATCACTGTAATTACACTAAGGAACTCACCTGATTCAAATCACATTAGAGATACTGACAAACACACCGCTTCATTACAATTAAAAGAATGCTATAAAGAAGTGTAATGGCTGGTATCATCAGAAGAGATCAATTGTTAAAAGAGGACTTGTAAAGTTGTGTGCCTATCAGAGTATAAAAGACTGTAGGATGGACTGATGTATTATCTGCAACAAGGATTTGAATGTGCTGGAAATCAAGAGGGTAAGTCAAGGCTGGACAACAGTGTACAAAAGGTCACTACGCACCAAAGTCAACTCAGTAGCTAACAGCAGCATGGGAGTGTAAAGGAAAGAGCACCTAGACAGATTCCAAGCGATGAGGCTGATTTCAAATAGAACATAACCCTTGAGATAGACTTGAATGTTAAGATAGTTGTTGTTGTTGTTGTTGTTGTTGTTATGTGCCATCGAGTCACTTGCGACTCATAGTGACCCTATATACAAGAACCTTAAACACTATTCTATCCTGTGTCAACCTTGCCGTCTCAAACACAATCATTCTCACCACTCCACTCACAGAACTGATCCATCTCATCAACGGTCTTCCTCTCCTGCGCCATAGCTCCACTCTCCCAAACATGATGTCCCTCTCTAAGGACCAGTCCCTCCTTGCAACATGCCCAAAGTATGTCAGACGAAGTTTCAGAATCCTTGATGATTCCAAGGAGCATTCTGGCTTCACCCTCTCCAGGACAAACATGTTTGTTCTCTCAGCAGTCCGTGGTATATTCAACACTCTTCTCCAGCACCACTGCTCCAAGGCATCAATTCTCTTTCTCTCATCCCTATTCACTGTCCAGCTCTACGATGCATAGCACATAATTGCAAAGACTATATCCTGCATCAGGCATACGCTAGTCTCCAGTCTGACATCATTCCTCTTCAGTATTCTTGAGAGGTCCCTCACAGCTGACTTTCCTAATGCAATTCGTCTCCTGATTTACTGGATGTGGTTACCAAGAGTGTTGCCTGTGAACCAAGTAAACTAAAACTGTTAACTATCTCAATCTCTTCACCATCCATACTTATGCTGCCAATTGGCCCAGTGGTGAGAATCTTTGTTTTCTTGATGTTGAGCTTCAATCCATATTGAAAGCTGCAGTCCTTGACCTTCTGCAGAAAGTGCTTCAGGTCCTCCTCAATTTCAGCAAGCAGGGTTGTGTCATCCACATAACGCAGGTTGTTGATGATTCTTCCACCAATCCTGATGCAGAAAAATAAATGTATTTCTCTTCATGCATTGAAAGCAAAGTGTCTATAAAAGATTGAATGAAAACTCAATATGATTTGTAAACTTTCACTCAAATAAAATTTTATATATGTATTTGTGTGTGATTTTCTATATAAAATTATATATATACTTTTCTAAGTAAAATTTGAGGGAGCTCTGGTGGCCTAGTAGTAAGAAAGCCATGTGGTTCGAATCCACCAGCTGCTTCATGAGAGAAAGATGGACAGTCTTCTCTCATGTGACTTACTGCCTCTGAAAACCCACTAGAGGATCAGCTATGAGTCAATTCTGACTCAACAGCAAACAACGACAATATGAAATTTTATCTATTCCTATGTGATTTTCTAACACAGAAAGACAGGAAGAACAGAAGGTGTAAGGGTGTGGAGGTATGGAGGTATGTTTCTCACAGACTGGTAATCTTTGACTGAAGCATTTGGTGACAGGTAAATCAGACAGGTAAGATAAGTATCAGAGAATATCCCAAAGCACCACGAGGTACCATGCTAAGGAGACTGGGTTTTACTTGTGGTGATTACTTGTGATAATTAGGGGCCACAGGATAACTTTAAGCAAGTGTGGCAGACATTGGTGGCCTAAACAAACTCCATTCTCTCTTTCTCTCTTCCTATTAACATCCTAATAGTACTTGGAGTGGTAATATATTTATCTAATGTCATGATTTCCCAGGTTCCCTTGCAGATATGAGCAGCCATAGATAAAAGCTCTTCCATATGGGGCATGTAGTTCTGACCAAAAGTCTATTGGAAGAACTAATAGGAAAACTTATTTTTATAATTTTTAAAATGGCAGACTTATGGGATCCGAATAATTTGCTTTTGGCTCTCCTCTTTCCCATTTGAGTTCTGGTGGCATAGTCCATGGGGAGGTGCACTGCAAACTCAAAGACATAAATTCTCTAGTGGTTTGGATCTACCAGCCACTCTATGGGAGAAAGATGAGCAATCTCCTCCTTTTTTATTTATAGCCTCTGAAAACCTGTGCGAGGGTCGGGTATGAGTTAGTTCCAACTTAATAGTAATGAGTTTACATCTTTTCATGTCCTTATTGTTTGGGATTTGGTTACCATGTCTGCAGTAGCAAAAGTCATCATGAAACCCTTAAGGAAAATAGCCACATACTAAAACAGCGGCAGAACAGAAAGACAGAAGGAAGCTGAGTTTATAATAGACCATTGAACAGCTATGCTAGTAAGGACTACTTGCCATCTAACATCTTGATTTATGAAAAAATAACCTCTACATGTTTAATCCACTACTACTTAAGACTTCTGCTACATGAAGCTGAAAGCAACCTGTTATGGTAGTAAAGTAATAAAATCAGAGCTTAATTTTAGAAAAACCGCCCTTAATGCCATGGGGACAAAGCACAAGGCCATATTCTCCATTTAATAGCTGTATGACCTTAGGCATTTTCTATAATGTCTCTGTTCTTCAGTGACATCATGTTTAATCCTAGTTCCTTTTAACGCTTATTAATGGCAGTCATTACTAGTAATTGCTAGATGAAACAAATGAAGCCTTAATCCAAAGATGGAGATGGTAACACTGTCTAGGAGCATATAAAGTCTTCACTGAAGTTAAAGCTGCACCTCATACTAGAAACAAAAAATAACTAAAAATAATAAATCACATAAATATAGGTTAAAAAACAAAATTTTAGAAGAAAATCCTGCTTTTCATAATGGAATTTAGCTATGATACTAAAAACATGAGCAGCAGAAGACAAAATCAATACACTGCTCTTTACAAAAATGAAAAACTTTTCTACATCAGAGGGTATTATCAGCAAAATAAAAATAAAATCTACAGGGTTGGAAGAAATATTTAGGAACTAACCACATAGCACATAAGGTCAATATCCAAAATAGATAATGAATGGGGCCTACAACTCTATGGTGTGATAACAAAAACAAAACAATTAAAATACAGATAAAGGGATTGAATAGATATTTCTCCAGAGAATATACAAATACTCAATAAACACACAAAAAAAGTGTTCAAAATTGTTAGTCACTAAGGAGTGGCATCCACTTCCTAAAAAACACGCCTCCAGAAACTCTATGAACTTTGATAAATGTCCATAGTTGTAGCGGGGCTTCAAGCCTTTTGTTCATACAGTCACTATGAGTCGTGCTCGACTTGAAGGCAATCAACAACAACAGCAGCAGCAGCAAGGAGTTGCAGCTCAAAACCACAATGAGATGCCACTTCATAGCTACTATTATTACTGTTTTAGTTTCCTCGAATTGACCACAACTCACAGTGGCCCTATGAGCAACAAACACATCTGAGTTTTGCCTTATCTTGCACCATCCTCATCATCATATTCACTAATATAACTAAAATAAGAAAATGACAAATAACAATAAGGATGTTGAGAGATTAGAACCCTTAAACATTGTTAGCAGAAATATAAATATTCACAATAGTATAGTCGCTGAGAAAACTAGTTTTGAAAATCAGTAAAAAAAAAATAAATATAACACCACTATATGACCCAGAAATTCTAATTCTATGTATATCCTCTAAAGAATTATAAGCATTGACTCAAACTGATACCTGTACACCAGTGCTCTCAAGAGCCAAAAGGTAGGAAAAAAACCCAGGTGTCTATCTACACATGAAAGATAAATAAAATGCGGTATATATAACATATCCTTGGAGTACACCCTTCCCAATTTTGAACCATGCAGTGTTTCCTTGCTCTGTTCTGATGACTGCCTCCTTGTACAAGTATAGGTTTATTAGCATGATGAAGTGTTCTGGGATTCCCATTCTTCTCAGAATCAACCACAGTTTGTTGTGATACACATAGTCAAATGTCTTTGCATAATCAATGAAACACAGACATTCTTCTGGTACTCTCTGCTTTCGGCCAAGATTCATCTGACATTATCTACAATATCCCTAGTCCCATAGCCCTTCTAAACCCAGCCTGGACTTTTGGCAGTTCTCTGTTGATGTGTTGTTCCAGTAATTTTTGGATAATCTTCAGCATAGATGATCACATAGTGTGTGATATCAAATCACTTGCTATGCATCAGAGAGCTGGACAATGACTAGGGATGATAGAAGGAGAATTGATGCCTTTGAGCTGTGGTGCTGGAGAAGAGTATTAAATATACCATGGACTACTAAGAAAATTAACAGGTTCATCCTAGAGAGGGTTAAACCAAACTGGTCCTTCAAGGCAAGAATCCTGAAGCTTCATCTGACATACTTTGATATGTTGCAAAGAGGGACCAGTCTTTGGAGACAGACATCTTGTTTGGGAGGGTGGAGGGACAGAGCAGGAAAGGAAGACCCTCTATGAGATGGATTGATTCAATGACTGGAGTAATGAGGGTAGGTTTGTCAGAGACAGTGAGATTGGCACAGGACAGAACAGGGTTTAGGGTGGTTGTACATATCAGTCCCAAAAAGAATTAAAGTTCTGATGCATGCTATGATGAGTTTTGTAAAGCTTTAAAATACTACATTCATAAAAATAAATCAGTGTTGTTGTTTTTAAGTACCATGACTATGACTTATAGAAATCCTATGATCAGTA